CCATGTATTTGCTGTGTCCTCAACAAGGCTTGTGACAAACTGGAAATAGAACTTCATTCCACCCATAAAGGTTGGCGCTGAGTACGGCTCACAGCCCCGCTTTTAAATAAAAGTAGAAGTGAAGTGGGAGCTTTAAAGCCCGCATAAAGCTAAGTGAAAAGCTCGGAGTGTAAAATGCTCACAGCTGTGGTGGTGAGTCTTTAACGATAAGCAGTCTTTCTTCATCCCTCACAATCTTTATAGCGATCCGTTTTCAGACCCTGGAAGAAAATAACCCTCCCAGCCATTCCTGCAGAGGAGACCAAGACACGAAGCCTGCGGACGCTTTTTGTTGTGTTTAATTATCTGACATATTTGGACACTCGCACCGGATTTTGTCTCGCTGCATTGCGGAGTCTCAACCAGCATGGTAGCATCGGCTTAGCGCCTGAATTTCATGGCAATGCAACCAACAGCTGTTCACACAAAACCCTTAAGCCACACCTGGTGCTACATGCAAGAAGAGATGGGATCTACTGAATTACTAGTTTTCCTCTGGGGATCATAAGTGTAAAATTTTGTGTGGTTTTATTTCTTCTTTAAACATTATTATTTAGTCTTATTAATATACCACCGTGCTTGTATTTAAGTCAGTTTGCCCTTTTTCCAGTCCATGTTTAGTTGCCGTGAATGTCACATTTGAGCATACACCGTTTTTTTTTGTTTGTTTGTTTTTTTGCTTAATTCAATCCATCTGTGTCTGGGGTAAAAAACTCCTCATTATTTACACATCTGTACATGTGTTTATGTGTTTAAGTGAACATAAAGAGAATAAACAAAAGTTCTGGGCCCAAATGTCTGTTTTCATCAGCCTAAGTTGAGTCTCTTTGTTTTGCTTTAACTAGTGGCAGTCAAGGAACAGGCTGAGGAGAACAAGAATTACTTTGTTTTATTGTTTTGGAAACGGGTCTTGGTGAAGCTTTCCTCATAACAAGCAAAGCATTTTCTAAATACCTTCTGGTTAGCTCCTGGTTTTCATTCATTCAAAGGTTTCAGACGTAAAGAACTTTTGATAACTTTTTGCCTCAAGTTGATCTTAACCAGCGACCGGCATCATGTTAATGATCTGTTTGGAGGAAGAGATTAACCCACTCGTCATATATTCAGCTTTGACAAATGGGATAAGTAAACGATGATTTACCATACATTTTCCATAAGCATTGCGTGACCTTTCCAACTACTTCATTCAAATTTTTAAATCACTGTGAGAACCACAGGTGCATACAATCAAACATTCCTTCTTCTGTTTATGAAAGAATGGGTTGCTTTCATGAGCTGGGTGGCTCGTTCCGTGCAATAACTCCATTTGTAAAAGAAATCCCAAATATTCAACTGTCAACTGTTGGCGGTTTCATAATAAAGTTAAGGAGCAAAAGCAACGCGGGCACGGAGTGGTAGGTTACGTAAAACCACAGTGTGGAGACAGTGAATGCTGAATGAAGTTGCCAACTGCCTCCAGAGTCAGTAACTTCAGACCAATAAATGTGGCGAGGCCTTTGATTAGCTTAAAAACGGTACATAGAGTACTTCATGGGTTTGGATGGAATGACAATTTACATTACCAAGAGCAATAAAGAGCTGGGTTCAATGGTGCAGAGCACACTGCCGCTGGACTCTCAGCTAGAAGAGTGGAGATGTGTTTCATTGAAAGACGAATCGCTCTTTTTCTGGCAGTGAGCGATTCTGGGTTGATACTCTTCAGGACAATGTTACTTCCTGACTGCAGTCTGCCAAGTGTAAAGTGGGATGGATGGGGGTATAGAGTTTTTTTCAATGAGAGTGAGAGGAACGCTTGACGTTGAAGCACACAAAGACATTTCTGACAATTTGCTGATCATCTCTGTGGGAACAGTTTGGGGATGGTGCTTCCTGTTCCAACATGTCTGCAGACGTAGTTCACTGTTCAGAAAGACGTGACTGAGAAAGTCTGCACACGGGTCTGACCCTGCGTTAACTTAACACACCACCTTTGGGATGAAAATGTGCAGCATTAGTGCCTGACCCCACACATACTCTGTTCAACGAAAGGTCAAAAATATCCATACATAGACATTTACAATCTGTTCGTTTAATCGTTTTTCAATCCATTTCACCCTTTATTCAACCTAAAAACACTGAAATTATCTTTTTCACAAAAGGTTTCTGACCAAGACTGTACATCAAAGTTGGCTTAAGACAAAATTTTAAATACTAACACATACAATATAAGTTGTAAAAACAGAATGTAAGGAGAGCACCCAGCCTTGACCATAAAAATAATTCGGACTATGTGCCATGTTTGGTGAAATAAATATTTCTCAGATGTGTTACATGCAGCTCTACTTTTCCTTATGAACCCAACAAATATAGAACTGTTCAGCGTAAAACAAAGCAAACACATTCTGCATATTTTAAATTAGGTACATGAAACACATTCAATTTACACTCTTTCAAATTAAGACAGTTGTTTTTTTTTTGTTTTTTGTTTTTTGGGGGGGGGGGGGCAGGGGGGGTTAAGAAAGGAAAGAGCAGCTTTGTATCCATACAGCTAATCCTTTTTGGATCTGGCTGAAAACATGCCAGAACATTTCTCCTGTGCTGCCATCTAAAGGGGATGGACTGCAATAGGTGCTGAATCCCTGTGGCTGCATGAGCTACACCAAAGTACTCCATCTGTTTTGGACTGGCACCATTATTTGGGCTCAGCAGGTCAAAGCCACAAATATAGCCATTAGCACATTAGCTTTGAGCGAAACTAGCTTTGTTTAGAAAGCCAAAAAAGGAAGTCAGAATACTAAACAAGACAGAAACCAAACTAACAGGAACAGTTCCTTTTACAGGTTAGGAAGGAGCAGCACTTATCTATTCTGCAGTAGATAAATACTGGCATTTTATTTTATAAAAATCCAGATTAGCTTATCCCCTGGGCTAAAGCTACAAGCTAGCCAGAGCGGTGCCCAAGATCAACACAGACGTTTATCATCAGTTCCAGTTGTGAAAAAGTTGTAGCAGTTTATGTCGATGTTATTTTGTGAGCTTGTGGTTGTGTTTAAAGTGTGATGTCATTAGAATCAAACAGATGAGTGTTACACAGAAAATGAAGGCAGGAAACAGTTCGCGACCAAACATCTTCCTGTGTGAAACGTACCAAAAACAAAACATTTGAGGCTTTTTTGATCGTGGCGAAAAAAAATAAAAAATCAATTAGAAAAGTACATTTGCGTAAAAATCAATTCACCGCAGTTTACATGCACCCTGAGAAGATTTCTGCTTTTACATGTCTTTTGTGGTTACTCTGACTGGAAAGAATTCACATGGTTTCACAATGGAAGAATTCTGGTGGCGTACTGCCTCCGTCCTATATTTCTTTTTCAGATAATCATCGGCTTCTATGCAAGTAGACAGATAAAATGAAAACCCTCTGAAAAAGTTAATGAAGTACCATTTACATTAACCCTATATGTGACTGGAGACGTCTTAAGAGGGGAAGAAGTCTACGTATGCTTTGAAACCCTTTCAGAGTAGCTCATATCTTTCCGTAATCTGGATTTTTACCGAATTAAGATGCCAAAAGGGTTATCTCCTGATGATGAAATATGACCTACTTGAAACATTTTAGAAGGACCTCACGTCAAAACTCCTGAACAAACATGTACTAGTCAGACAGGAGGTCACATTTAGCTTTATCCAGTGATGAAGTGATGATTGTTTCAGCCAGTTGGTGAGCCAGCTGATGAAGATCGCTTTCATCCGACCCCTGCTGCTTGTTTTTCACGCTCAAGACCCAGCTTAACACGTCACACGACAGAACCTCTGCGAAAGCCTCCACGCCGGCTCCATGCGCCTGCAGGCCATCTCTCGCCAGGTCGTTTGTAGATAGGGAATGCATCAGATGCTCCATCAATTCCACTTGGGGGTCACTGATCACACCGCCCGAGTTGTCCTCCTTGTCTTTCGGAGTAGGTGGAGGAGGAGAGGGCAGGAAGACTTTTGCCAGCCCCCCCTTGAGCTTCCGAGCGAAACTGTTCCTGCTCCGCTCCAGCTCCGGGATGAGGGGGGTGGTCGGAGGGGCATCTGGGTAGTCCAGGGAACCTACAGCAGGAAGGCCCGATTGGTACAGAGGTGGATGGTTGGACTGAGAGTTTCTGTGAGTCTGTAATTCCCTTAAGGAAATCATCTCTCGTTCCAACAGGTCCTCTTCTTCTCCGGATGCAGGGGGCCCATTTTCAGCCTCTTCACAGTCGTTCTTTTCAACATCTGATGGCGGATATTGAGGCAAGCAGACGTCTTTCAGAGCAACCTCAACTATTGCTGATGCCAACTCCTCGGCGAAGGTCTCCGGCGTTTGAATAGGTTGCAGCTCTGCAGGTTCCAACTTTTCCATTTGCTCTAGAGAGGAGAGGATTATGTTGTCTGCAAGATTTTGGGCAAACTCGTCCAGAATGTCGGCATACATGGGGATTCCTTTGCCAGAGGTTTCGGGAACGGGTTCTCGCCACTTTGAGTCTGTGCTTAGAGTCTGCATAGGATCCTGCGAAGATAAAGACAATAAGCTACAATGCCTTCCTTAAGAATCCATGTCGAACTTTTACAAACTTTGTCACATTACATCCTCAAACTTTAGCGTACTTTTTAAGATTTTATGTGATAACCCAACACAAAGTACAACATAAGTCTTCAGTAAAAGCTAAAAAAAGGTTTGTATAAAGAAAAGTTAGCTGTACTTTGTGTCAATACTCTTAGTGAGAACTTTATAGGAATGCACTTAGATTCAGTTTCAGTTTTTTGGGTTCATTTCTACCAGCTTTTGACATCTAAAGACCTTTTCATGCATGTTTCTCTGCAAAGTGGCTCAAGCTCAATAAAATTGGATATAGGACATCTCTAAACATTAATTTTCTAATTTTTTTCCCAAATGTTCATTGAGTCTTACGTCTGAACTTGGGCTCTGCTGTTTTAACACATGAACGTGCTTTGATCTGAACTATTTCCATCTATCTTTACATCAACAAAGCACCTGGTTAGTTATAAATGAAGTCTACAGATTTAAGTTTGGTTATTATCTGAGCAGTTCACCTAATAAGAGTTCTACAGGCTTTTTTCCATAAGAAAGAGGTTTTTACAACAAAAAACTAATAGTTTTCATGTTTTTTTAACGTGAGCAAGATTTTAAGGTTGTATACCAGGTTACCAATCTGAAGGTAATTTGTTACACTGAGTTTCATTTTGGGACATCGAAGTAATACAACAGTCGCACAGCTTTTCTGATTTCTTTTCGTGAACTGATTTGCAACTGATTTGTGTTGGTCTTTCAGGTAAAATTAATAGAAAATGCAAGTTTGTGATGGTATTTTGTCAAAATATGAAAGAGTTCAAGTTCAACATTTGGCACTGTGTGAGTTTTAGCATTTAAAAATTCCCAGAGCTTTTAGTTTTATAGAAAGAATGGAACTAAACATTTTGTTTGAATGGCTTGGCTGCAATATTTCTCAGTAAAAGCAAAAAAAAAAAAAAAAGAAAAAAAAAGAAAAAAGAAAGTTCAGTTTAAAGTGTAGTAGGATGCAAATGTTGCCCACAAATGTTGCTTCAGCTCTCTTCACGGTCTTAGTCTGCTTCGTTTTAGAGAAGAAGAAAAAAAAAGCTGACAAGCTACGAATTGACAGAAAGCCTCAAGAAACATCAAACGAGATAATTGAGTCAGGAATCTTTCAAAGCAAGAGAAAGACCAGAGAAACAGAGAGAAAAGGAAGTCCCCCTCTGAAGCTTAGGATGGAAAGTAAGATAAGGCCTCAACCACAGCCTGTCACCAGATGAGCTGTCAGCCAGTCCGGATGTGACAGGCAGGAAGTTCAGTTCAAAATTGCTCCAGCTCAAATTGCTGGGCTTGATGACAGCAGCAACCTGTCACTCACTCTGTGGAGCTTTTGCAATTCAAGCGAATTAGGCTGGGAAAGCTGGAAAACATATTCTGGGATAAACATCCAAATGTTTTGTCAAGACCAAGTCAAGTGTTGGTTGGTTCTGAAATATATTCTATGCAAACAATAACACATAAAGCCATAAAAGTGTCACGGATCTACACAGTCTGCACAGCATGGATCAACCAAGGAAGAGGAAGTTTTCTAAATTTGGGATCATTTTGATCTGATCACAGAATAAGGTAAATTATTATTATTCTGTTGTCATTTCTTTTGGATTATTCCAGTTCCTTTCTACGAGATATTTGAGTTTACATGAATTAACTTTTATTTATATTGTAGGTGAAATGTAGGATTTGCTCCCAGGTTTTGTCTTACTGTAACCGGAGCTCTTCCACCATGCTGAGGCTTCATCGTGACGGGGGGGTGGATGAACCGTTTAACAGTCCATGATAAACCCCGGTGTTTCCAGAAAGCAGGCGACTGAACTGGATCTTCAACTCAACCATCTGCTCCCTGTTCAAGTTTGTCATGACTGTTAATTGTGTTCATTTAAGGTTCTTGCAAATCCCTGCATTGCAAAGGACTCAGTAGCCACAAACGTTCATTTATGCATTCTTATTTTTTAATTGATAGCAATATTTTTGCATGCCCAGACTACTGAGAAATTTCTTGCCCAACTGGTTGTGTGCTTCTCTGTCAATACCAAGAACCATATTTCTCCATTTTAATGTGCAAACTTTTTTGTAGCCTCATCAGTCAGATGACTATTTTTATGATACTTTCTCTGATACTGTTGAGACAATTGCTTGTCCTCCAAAATGAACAATGAGGTCGTTTTTGGTCTTATGACAACATGTGCCTCTAAATCTTTGGGGAAGCATTGTAAAATGACAAATTGGTTAGGCCTTACAAAACCAGGTTATGCTAGCGACATAGCTCCAAGGTGTCAAACTAGCGTAGCAGATGGCAAATAAAAAATAAAACTGGTGTAAAGTTAGTTTTGGCTTGTGGATGTTAATTTTTAAAGCCAAACTTAATTTACAACAACTTTAGCCAATACACCTGAAGAGAAATACAAAAGCATGAACGAAATAGGCTAACTCTCGAGAACCAAGCTAATGTAAACAATACCGCTTTGCTAAGCTAGCACAACAAACTGTGAATGAATGATGACACAACTGTAGTTTCTTCTTGTGTTTTAAACACTTAATTTTAAGGTAAAGTAAGTTCATAAAAATGTGAGCCTCTAATAACATAAAGAAAAATCAATGAGATGTCAGAAATGTATTTATTGTTTAAAAAAAAAAACAACAACAAGGAAAAGATGTCAAGCTAGCATCACAGATCCAAAATAAATAGTAAAGAAACTCTGAAGTTACTTTTTGTAACCTTTTATACATGGTCATTTCTTTTAAGCTAAGGTAAATCTAAATTTCGCACTTTAAAAACAATAAAACTACAGTGCAGTGTAGGTTTTTCTTTAGATAAACTAAATATAGCACAGATTACAATGGAGCCATCTACATATATTTTTATCATTCTGTAAACTTTAGCAACAACCTTTACGGCAAACTAAGACAAAAACAGTTCATCTTTTCTTTTTGTATCTTCCTCCACTGCAAACTAGCATTTCGAGTATCACCAGAGGCATCCTGGGGTTTTTAATCCCACAAACCAGTCGCTCACAGCAAACACGTTTCCAACATTTTAATGGCTTGTTGAGCTAATATCCTATTGTCCAATCAGTCAGACAATAGGAAACATCATACAGAGCGCAGAACGGGCAAGATGCAGAGTGAAGAGCAGATGTGGAACAAATTACAGCAAGAACAAAGAATGTTGTCTCCTGACAATGCGAGTTGTACACTCTGATGAGGCAGAGGAGCGTCCGTCACAATTAGGATGCCTCCTCGTTATATTATACAACCCCAAACATAAAGTATTGACCCTGGTCATTGTGTCGTTAAATTATTGATACCAGTACGCATTTATTGGGGTTTTCACAAGCAATCAAATGCACTACATGTGCAGTAAGTACAAAGGCAGTTTTAAGTGTGTTTTGTGTTTGGCTGAAACCTCACTTGACCTTTAAGGAAGGCTTTATTTTTTTCCTCTTTCTTTCCCACTGGTTCATCTGTTGAGAGGGGGCGAGGGGGAAATAAAAACTCTTCTGCAAGAAGCTATTTTAGGTTTGTGTGAATATCCCAAACCATCATTTCCTTCAGGGAAAAAAAAATAAAAAATGACTGAGAAGAAATTCAAAAATGCCTCAAATAAAAGTTAATAAACATATAGGCTGTCAGAACTAAAAAGAGACAGACCATGTTGAGAGTGGAAGATAAATAAGGCAAGGAATATATTAAGTGAAAATACAAAAAGAGTCCTGAGAGGCAACTTGATGTACGATATGTTAACGTATACGAAGCTTGAAACAGAAAAAGAAAGACGTGAAGCAACAGGCAGCCTGAACTATATCGGCGTGTAGGCAAACTTACCACATTGGAGCTTGGTGCACAGTGTCTTCAGTGTAAATGGTGACATGGGAAAGAGTTCACCAGTTTTGCTCACTTCCTGTAAGTTTCTGTAAGTGTGCTTGTGCGTGGGAGGAGCCAGTTTAAGAAATTTACAGCACTGAGAAAAAAAAAAAAAGGAAGTGGCAGAGGACTGAGTTGTATTGTCGAAGGGTTGACGCTTCTGTTGGTTGAAATCTAGAGAGCACATGTTTTTTTAGAACACATTTGTTTCCATTTTTGTTTATGTTTGCATCCGTAGTTAAGTTTGATAAAGACAAAAAAAAAACATAAAGTCAAGAAACCACACATGCAGCTAAAAGTTGACGAGCGATGATGCTGCATGTCGTCACCTTCCTAAAAATAATGGGTTAAGTTGTTTTCTTAAAAGTTACTTTGTTGTTGTTGTTTTGGTTTTTTTTTTTGCCTAAAACATCTTTTGGAAAAAAGGGGTGGTGATTTTTTCCAAAAAATTATTTTAGAAAGGTGGGGATATGAAACACCAAATTCTGCCACTCATGCATAACATGATAGAAACCTGAGAAAAAAGTACTGAGAGCAATAAGGAGGTAAGGAGGCAACAAGGAGAAAGTAAGAGGAAAAGTTGGTTATGGAGGTCTAATCCTGCCATAATTAGCTATAAGTACATAAATACATAAATGTTCAACAAATAAATAAGCACGTGTTTAAATGTGCAAAAAATACAGTAAATAAATAAATAAATTTTGGCGGTACTTAAACTATACAATTGAATTTGATATTACAGCCTAGAACCTTTGTATTTCTTTAAAAGTTGTAAATAATTTTGTATAAAAATATCTGAGTTTTATGTGAAAAAGTGTTTGGATCCTTCCTGATTTCCTAGTTTGTTTGTTTTTTTTTGTTTTTTGCTGTTTGTCACACTAAAAGAACATCAAACCAATTTAAATACTGGTTAAAGACAACAAGGAAACAAAATCATTCCTGGGTTATAAACCACAGTTATGTTTTAAAAGGGTCGGTTAGCCACTTTTCACACATGGCCGGGTAGCTTTGGATATTTTTTTACCTCCCACAACAATAAACACTTTCATTTAAAAACTGCATTTTTGTGTTGTTCTTTTTGCGTTGTCTTTCACTCATACCTAAATTGGTTTGATTTTCAGAAACACTGAAGTGTGATAGATCTGCAAACCCCCCGGCCCCAAAGAAACAAAGAAAACAACACTTTCTCATGCCATCATATTTAGATATATTTCATGTTATAAAGCACATTATTTTTTCTTTTGGCTACAGTTAATGCAAAGCAGAATAAGCAGAGGAAACTAAAACCTTCGGTGATGATTTGTGGATCCCTGGTTTGTGCGTTCCACATCTGGCTATTGACGCGGTTCTACGTCCCAAACGGATTACAGTAGCTCCCCTTGAACTGTTTCCACCAAAAAAAAAAAAAACCCTGAACGTCACGTCCAAACCCCATCCATGTGTCAAATGATCTGCGGAGTTAGGTACATGAAATGATGTATGTTGAGGGTTTACTGGGAGAAGACATAACTCTTTCTCACGGGTCAAAGGAAAAAGCTTAAATTTATTTCTATCCACATACTAAGACAAAAAATAATAAATTACAGCTCCAGTGCTTGATACTCTGACAAGAATCCAAACATCTGGCAGTGAGATACTTGTTTGCTGCCAGTTTCCTCTTTTTTTCCATCTTCACCTGTTCTTGGAGTGTACACAAAATTTCATGACCATCTATTATCTAAACCAGGGGTGTCCAAACTTTTTTTTAGTGAGGGGCAAATACAGAAAAATAAACAAAGGGCCGGGCCACACACTAGAGGTCACATATTGACACATCAATACTGCGTGTATTTCTAACTCATCTATAATGTGAAGAGCTATCCGTCATTCTGGTTCTCAGTCTGCTTTTGTTCTGATTTAACTGAGAAAATGTTTGTTCACATATGTATGTTGAGCCGAACAGGCTCATCATACATTTGTGTATGATGAGCCTCTGATGGCGTCTCATCAGAGGAAACTTGACATTAACCAAACTCTGATAGAATTCAGGGAGGGAGAGAAGCTGATGTTGACTCTTGAAAGAATCATCACAGTGCATTTAAATCAGTTCTAACTGCAGACTCTCTTCCACTTCTTCTGCATCCACCAGAAAGGGGGTCAAGGACAACTTGATTTGTTTTTGAATGACAGAAAAATCTTGGAAACGCTGGTTGAATTCTGTCACAAGAGATGCAATCACAGACACATATTTCTCCTTTTTAGCAGAAAGGTCGGTCTTTGGAAAAGCAGACTTGTTGATGCAACTCCTATGTGTTTCTAAGTCCCAACAGGCCAGTTATTATTCTTTATTTCTTAAGCTCTGGAAACACTTGCAACACCCTCAACCTGTGATAAAGACGGGTAAAAACTCAAAGTCTAAGACATCCTATTTTGTTGCTTGTCGTTCTTTTGGTAAAGGAATGTTCATCTTGTTTTTGACATGTATGAAATGATAAATGAATTACTTGTCTCTTTTTTTCCCCCTGTTATTTCGTAAGCTGTCATAAACTATAGAATATTTGGATGAATATTTGAAAAGTCTTAGAAATAAGTCACCCCATCTCAAATTCACATTTCTTCATGTGAGCATTTCCATTCAATGACTACACAAACAAATGAAAAGTATGTATTTTAAAATAAGTATAATAATTTGATTCCAGTGTAGTGAAGACGTTTCCTCTCAGCAATTGAAAAGTACATCAAGAAATCAAAAGATGCCCTTTGAAAAGTTCAAAGTAGATTTTATTTATTTACTCTGTAGCTAAACGATAACTCGTAGACGGAGAACACGTACGTGTGTGTGTGTGTGTGTGTGTCTTATGAGATGACAAGGTTACTGCAATTTAAAACCTCCCTGAACAAAACAGCAACAAAGCTCTTAAAGTGTGAATTTCTATTGGTTGTCATGAGTTTGAATACTTCTAGAGCTCCTCCCTGTTGTTTTAAGGTGTGTTTGTTGTCGAACAGACGGGTTCGTCATCATTTCCAGAAACATGTTACATTTAGAAAGGAATAGTCATTGCTTGTATAAAAGAGTTTCTTTTATACATTAAATGTAAGCAATTAAAATACCCCTACAATGACTTTTGAAAATATATTTTGGGCTAAAGCACGTTAATTATGTCATTTCTTTAACTCCGCGATAGTGCACCGGTAGGAGCTGGTACTTATAACCAGCGCTCCTTATCAACTGCATTCTGTTCCGCTTCCTGATTGGTCCGTTTGGCTCAAATTATAGCCAATGAAAGCAAGACGCAGGAGATTCAGATCCTCAGCTGAAAACGCTGCCGACTGTGAAGCAACCCTGCTAAATTGGAATAAATATTCCAGAAAAGGCTACTCTCTACTGTCTAAACTGGATTTAACAGAGCGAAGCACACTAAGGTAAGACTAAATTTCGGCGTCTTCGAGCACAGAGCCGTTTCGAGGAAACTCCGCCCGTCGTGCAAGCTCAGCCACGGAGACTTCCTTTCATGCGAGCGAGTTTAAATTAGCCTTAGTGCCAAAGCCGTGAAGAGTTTTTTGCTTTGTTTTTGGTGTAAGTGCGCCATTTTCTGCCTTCCTTGTGTGCAATCCAAACAGCAGCGGCGACTGGACAGTTGTTTTCGCGGGATAAAGGTGAACGAAGCTGCCATGCCTTTCACAAGAGGGAAGAAAAACAAAGAGGCTGCAGGGACCAAGGCATCCAAGGTGAATGCAGCAGCCTCGGAGAACCAGGTGAGGGGAATGGGCAATAGAAATCTCTCTTTAAGTCGCCAACAAAGCATGCAACGCAACAGTCTGACAGTGCACGTACTGACGAGGCAATACATGCATGATTTGTGGTGCTGCTTGTGTTTCAGGAAGAGGCCACTCAGGTGAAGCGGTCCTCGTCTCCTCCTCATGGAGCTCCCAAGAAGAGGACTGCCTTCATCGACATCACCAATGTGAGTTCTGCGTGTCTGTCTTTAGAGAAATATGGCAACTTGCTAACTCGGCCTGAGAAGTGGCATTAAAACTAGGCGCAACATGTTACCTAGAGGAGACGCAATGTATCAAGTATTGGCATGGAAGTGGATGACTGGGGCAGCGAAGAGATGATTACTGCTTCTATTTCTTTTTTTTTTTTCTTTAGAAAAATTGTACCAAAACAGAATCCCTGTATTATGTCACATACGTGCAAAGGTTGCCATCATTTGGTGCAACTTTCCTTGTTTGTGATGCACTAACTACAATGTAGTCTTTCACACAAAGTTTTTTATTTTTCCCTTTTTTGGGGTCTAACTCTATGCTTTGATAAATGCTGCGTTCCAGTTACCTCGGAACTCTGAGCCGGGTTTGACCTCAAACGCGACGTAACAGCGTCCCAGTTAAAAAGTCGCATTTTCAACATGGCGCTGCCCAGAGATGCTGTTCGCAGTACCTCTTACAAACATTTTAAGCTTTACTCGTCATGTGCAAACAACACTTTTAACTTGTTCAGATTAGAGGTGCTACGTGTAACATTATTTTTTACACACACTTTTATATGTGTGTCGTGTCAAATAAACATGTCCCCATCACAGCTTACTGTTGGGGAGTGGGACCATGTTGAAACGCGAAGTTGGTGATAACTGGGGATAGTCGTAGTTAATCACTACTCTGTGTGTGTGTGTGTATAGGTCAGGTTAACTTGATCGATATGAAATTCTTCTTTTGCACTTTGACATGTGATTTTATTTGTCACATGTTTGCACTTTAAATATTACTACTTTGAAATTCTCATCCAATCTGTCTCGAGGCTCACAAGGTGACGATCAGCCTTCCAGGTAGGAAGAGGGAGTCGGCAAAGAAAGTTGAAAAGAAGACCAACTCTGCCTCGGTGCTGTCAAAGAATCAAACAAACCTACAAAAGTACGTTTTGAAGATCTTCTGGGTTTATTTTCCGTCATGGTTCTTCTCGCTCGGTGCCTTCACCTCCCAGCCTCTCGCCTCCTGCAGGTCGTCATCCGCGAGCTCCGAGGGATCGCCGGCCGAGAAAGAGAGGTCCGACGTAGAGGAGGAGGAGGAGAAGAAGAACGAGGAGCCGCAGAAGGATGACTCGTCTCCGGCAGAAGAACCTGTAGATGTTTCATCCCCTGCTCCCCGGGCAGTGCCAGCACACATCCAGAGGCAGCCTGTAAGAAGAGCAGCGCATTTCTAAAACTACGCTCACACCGCAGGACTTGATGCTCGACTTCGAAAAGCGGCACGCGTGCGCACGTGAACATTGACGTCACACGGCAGTATTGTTACTTCATGAAAGTAATAATGGACGGAGACGTTTATGGCTCCTTTTTTAAAGTGTAATCAGTAATGGGAATTGACAATATCGATGCGAAATCATGACAAGATGAAGGAAATTAATTAAAAAGCACAACTACTAGCAATGGTCTTGTGAAGCATCGACAGCAATGTCAGGGGAGAAGTTTGTTTGGATGTGGATTCAGAGCCAACTGTGGTGGGATTGTGATGTGATGCGCTTCAGCGTCTATAAGTTCATAATTATAATTTTCAGCCGCTGTTTATGTCCAGATTTACCGAGCCTGGCTTTTTCTGGTTCATAATAATTGCGTATGTCTCATCAAGGGCATGAAAATGGGTTAAAATGCGACATGACCATGCAAAGATTTGAAATGAGCCTTTCAGTTGGGTGTGGAAAAAGCCGCATTTGGGTCGTATTTGCCTGCTGTGTGAACTTAGCCTAAAGTTGGGTAAAGGAAAGCCTCGGGTTTTAACTTCACATTCCTTGGACTTGTACAGATCCCAGAAGAGTTCAACATCGACTCTGATAACTCTGAAGACTGTTACATGTGTCCCGAGTATGCAAAGGATATCTTTGACTACCTTAAAAAGAGAGAGGTGAGGGAACTCTAGAAAACCTTTAACATTGAGTTATTTGTGTCTTTTGTTGTTAGTTCAGCTCCATAATCCTCATTATTCACCTTCAGGAAAAGTTCGTCCTTTCCAACTACATGGACAAGCAGCCCTACCTCAGCCCAGACATGAGGGCGATCCTGATCGATTGGCTGGTTGAAGTCCAGGTGATTTATTCAGCCAGTGTGTTTGTGGGAAAAGATCAAAGCGTCTTCTGATCTAAGAAAAACATTTTGATAACTTGAAGAGTGGTTGCCTTTCTGATCTCTTGATTGTGCTTTTTTTTTTTTTTCTCACATAGGAGAATTTTGAGCTGTTCCACGAGACCCTCTACTTGGCCGTGAAGTTGACAGACCACTACTTGTCAAAAGTCCCCATCCACAGGGACTTGTTGCAGCTCGTCGGTTCTACCGCCCTGCTGATCGCCTGCAAATTTGAGGTGAGAACTTCTGCCTTTTTTTTTTTTTTTTTTTTTTTCC